TTGTTCCACGATATATCCGCCGGTTGGCACACATATGTGTACCGTGGTGGTACTTTGAGCAGGACAACATTTATCGAAGCTGCAAACGCTTCGACATCAGGGGTCCAATGGCCACTAAAGTCATCCCATATCAGAAGGATATTGTCGTCGCGATTAGGACGGTCAGCGAAGTGAAATTCGAGAAACTGCTTCGATAATTCTGCGTTCCACCATGCACATTGGTTTCCGTAAACTTGACAGTCAAATTGCTCTTGTAATTTGCGAATTTCACGATTCCACATTGTTTTGCTGAATCCATGTCGCAATGAAGCGTTCTCTAGTCGAGTTTCAGGGATCTTTGACGGTACACACTTAAAAACAAGGAACGGAGCCAATTTGGTGCCTTCCCAGTCGCCTAAAAGCATGGCAGTCGCCCTTGACTTCTCTTTATTGCTGCATCTTACCCACACAGTCTTAACTCCGCGTTTGGATATTGTTTGTTTTGGTAGGTATTCAAAGTTGATACCTACAATATGTAAAAGTTAGTATAAGGTATTCCGATTCAATAATTCGCCTGCAGGAACGCACCTGTTTGGTCCGCGTTATACACTTGGACGCATTTCTTCTCGACGATTGTCTGCAATACTAGCGCTTTGAACTCCTTCGCCGCGTCGACGGCGTCTTGTGGCGTTGTCTGGCCTTGTCTAGTGCGCGCACGGAGTGACAGTTTGTGTCGCCGTAAAAATAATCGTATCCACGTGGCGGTCGCAGCGAATTTGTCACCGAGGCCAATCTCATCGGCAACCTCTTTTGCTTGGAGCTGCAGCATCAGCGGGAAACCGGGGCTCCGTCTTTCCGCAACGTGTTCAGCCAAACGACGATGGCAGCTTCAGCCTCCTTTGGAAGCACAGTAGCCTCCCCAAGTGCGCGCAAGTTTTGGTGACGCCCACGCCCTGAAGCACAGGCGGCCCGAATAGTGGAACTCTGTTTTATCCATTTGTTGATTTGTTTTTTTCGAGCTCGAAGTGCTTTTCCGTCTAACTTTCCATAGAAGTGTTCAATCGTATCGTCAAGGGAGTGGCTTTCGTTGAAATTAAGAACATCTTGCTTGTGTGAGTATGCCACGGCCACACGCTGGTACAACTTCCGCTTCTTGCCTTGACCATTGATGC